CTCTCTCCCTCTCTCCCTCTCTCCCTCTCTCCCTCTCTCTCCCCTGCTCTTTGTGCCCTTCCTCCCCCTTGCACATGTGCACGCATGTACACTCTCTCTCTCTCTCTCTCTCAAAATAAATATTAAAAAAAAAAATTCGGATAAAGCCTAGGCCTGGACAGCTTCGTTAGTGAATTCTACCAAATGCTTAATGAAGATTTTAATACCAGTCCTTTACAAGACACAGAACAGTGAACACTTCCCAATTCATTCTGTGAGGCCAGTATTGCCCTATTAGCAAAATCAGAAGAAGACTATAGAAAACCATAGACTAATATTCCTTATAAATATAGATGTAAAAATGCTCCACAAAATACTAACAATATAGTAACCAAATCTAACAATATGTAGTAGGGATTATTACCATGACCAAGTGCAGTTTATCCCAAATATGAGATAAAGTTGGTTTGTCATATGAAAATCAGCCCATGTATGTACCATATTAATGGAATATTACTACAAAAATCATATGATCATATCGGTAGATAGAGAAAAAGCATTTGACAAAATGAAACATCCCGCATGATAAAAAACACTCAACAAACTAGGGATAGGAGGGAACTTCCTCAACCTAATAAAAGTCATCTATGAAAAACCCACAGCTTAACATCATACTTAATAGCAAAAGCTGAAAGTGTTTCTCCTAAGGTCAAGAGCAAGACGATATCTCTTCATGCCACTTCTATTCAACATTGTATGGAGGTTTTAGCTAGGACAGTTTGGCAAGGAAAAGTAATAAAAGTCATGCACATTGGAAAGGAAGAAGCAAACCTATTTCTGTTTGCAGATGACATGATCTTATATATAGAAAATCATAAGGAATACACACACACACGTACACACGCACACACAGTTAGCAGTAATAAATGAGTTCAGCAGTAGGAGTATTAACCAGTGAATTTCCACTTTGGAAAACAGGGTGGCCGTTTCTTCTAAAAGTTAAGGCTAGTTTCTCGCTCCTAGGTATATACTCAAGAATTGAAAACTTAGGTTCACACCAAAACTTGTACACTAATTTCACAGCAGCGTTGTTTACAAAAGCCAAAAAGTAGAAATGACCCAAATGTCCATTGGCTAATTAATGGATACATAAAATGTGCTATGTCCATCCAATGGAATATTACTCGGCGATAAAAGGAATCAAGTACTAGTACATGCTACAACATGGTCACTTGAACCTTGAGAACATTATGCGAAGTGAAGGAGACCTGACACACAGGCTATATGTTACATTATTTCATTTATATGACATGTCCAGATTAGGCAAATCTGTAGTGACAGTGGTTTCCGCAGGCTGGGACGCAAGATAGATTTTCTTTGTGGGGTGATGAAACTGTTCTGGAATGATAGAGCCATCATTAAAAGCACCCTTTTGAGTTACTATGTCAGTGACCTTAATAACATCAGTGTACCGTGCCAGTTATGTGCTAGGTCTTGGGCTAAGCCCACTATAACCTAATGAAGTAGGTATATTATTGATGTCTCCAAAGGAGGAACGTAATACAGAGAGAGGCCAACACGTTACTTGGTGTTTCAGATCTTTTTTCTGTACCTTTGTGTAGCATAATTGTCTTCTAAGGTTTAAGAGGATTAAATGAGGTAATATGTGAAGCCCCTGAGTACATTGTTGGTACATGGTACACATTCAGAAAATGGATCATGTTTTATTCTTTTTTTTTTTAAATTTTTTTTTTTTCAACGTTTATTTTATTTTTGGGACAGAGAGAGACACAGAGCATGAACGGGGGAGGGGCAGAGAGAGAGGGAGACACAGAATCGGAAACAGGCTCCAGGCTCTGAGCCATCAGCCCAGAGCCTGACGCGGGGCTCGAACTCACGGACCGCGAGATCGTGACCTGGCTGAAGTCGGACGCTTAACCGACTGCGCCACCCAGGCGCCCCGATCATGTTTTATTCTTAAGTGGATGTTGTGGGATACCTGTCTTTGTTATGGAAAAGTCATTCTAACTTCTGCTGTGTTATAGTGTTAATAGTGTATAACACTTCCATTTGTTTTTGGATACAGGACCCCCTGGACCGGCTGTCCCTGCACCTGCAGGCTACGCAGGAGGCTTTCCTATGGGATACAACAGCCCACAGCAGCCCGGTACCTTCTTCCCGTACCAGCCAGCTGGTGGTGCCCATCCTATCCAGTACCAGCCTGGCAAATACCATATGTCAAATCAGCCTGTTTCAGTAACATGGATGCCAGGGCCTCCTCCTATACCAAACTGTCCTCCTGGTCTGGAATACTTAACCCAGGTAGTCCTCACAAATCCAAATGATCTTCTTATGAAGTATGATCGGGGATCCGACAAGAAGAGATACAAAGCTAAATAGAGTAGATGAAAGTGACAGGTCAGTGATGACAGAGGTCCAGTTTGTGAGACCATGGGAGTTGTGGTACTCATTTCAGAAATATGAAGGGGAAACGAGGAATACAGGAATGTATTTGGTGGGATCGGCACGGTTTTCTGAAGGATGTATGTTGAATTTTAAGATTTGCAAGGTGTCCTGTTGAAGGCGGTTTCAAAAACAGGACTAGAGGAAAAACTATCAAAGATGCCAATTCTCATTTGCATAGAAGTGAGGAGTTAACACCAGGAAAAACAACATCAAAGAGAACAGAACAGACCGTGAGTGAATCACTGGGGGTCTCTGCCCATCCTTTTTTCTCATTACCCCTGATTGTCATTAGCCACTCCCTGCCACCCTCCAAACATAAAATGTAAATCAAAAGAGGAAACCTACCAAGGGTTTTGCTTCAGGCCAAGTTCCAGAGGATCTCTTCCCACAACACAGTGAATTCTTATTTTCCACCTCTGTGCACATTCTGGAGGCACCAGGGTATCCAGATCAGAAACTGGGGCAGTATGTCAAATCAGTGTTCCAAATGATGTTTTTAAAACCACATGTCAGAAACTCAAAAATATTGCTTAATGAAAATAAGATAAAGCTAGTATTGGAAATAACTTAGAACCTATTGAATCATGTTTGATTTTAGAAAAAGGAAGGGCCCCTGGCCGCTCAGTCTGTTAAAGCATCTGACTCTTGATCTCAGCACAGGTCATGGTCTCATGGTACATGGGTTCGAGCCCCACATCAGGTTCTGCACTGACAGTGCGGAACCTGCTTGGGATTCTCTCTCCCTCTGTCTCTCTCTGCCCTTCCCTCACTTGTGCACTCTCTCTCTCTCTCTCAAAAATAAATAAATAAACTTAAAAAAAAAGACATATGACTTCACTCATATGTGGAATTTAAGATACAAAAAAGATGAACATAAGGGAAGGGAAGCAAAAATAATACAAAAAGAGGGAGGGAACAAAACAGAAGAGACTCTTAAACACAGAGAACAAACAGGGTTGCTGGAGGGGCTGTGGGTGGGAAGATGAGCTAAATGGGGAGGGGGCATTAAGGAAGACACTTGTTGGGATGAGAACTGGGTGTTATATGTAGGGGATGAATCCCTGGAATCTACTCCTGAAATCATTAATACACTATGTGCTAACTAACTTGGATGTAAATTAAAAATAAATAAGTAAATAAAGACATTTTGAAATACATTATAAGCAAGGGACTTGCCAGTTCAACACATGTCTCCCCACGTAACCAACATTCCTTGGAGTTGACGTGTTTCTCTTTTCCATTTTATATATTGACAGGGACCTTCTGAATCCTGTGCATTGAGAACCATAGGTACAGTGTTATAGTGTTGATATTTCAAAGTCAAACCAGTTGGATCACAAAAACTGAGATTTCACATGAGCCAAAAATTTTACTCAGTTTTTGTTTTGGCAAAATATTGACAAACTACAGCACCATTCAAGTACAGTGGTAGAGTAAACCCCTACGTTATTTCAGAAGCTTAAAAAATGCTTTATAGTTAATCACATTTTAAAAGTTCCTTTTTTATACTAGATGATAAGTATAGAAATTGTCCTTAGAAATCCAAGATCTGCAGTCATTTCTCTTTTTTAAATGTATAACTTTAATTTTGTTCATCTAAATATTAAAAAACAGTTTCTTAATTTCTTCTGTTCTGACAGAAGTTAACACATTTTATGAATTGTTTCTTCAGGCTTGTTTTGAATAAAAAAAAATAAGTGAGAAAGGAAACAAAACAGGTTTAGAGACAGACCAACCTGGTTTTAAATTCTAGCTGTCGTTCCTCCTCACTCTGCAGCCTTCAATAACTTCTATAACCTGTTGGTGCTTGAATTTCATCATTAATAAAATAGTACTAGCAATACATACCTCATTGGGTTGTTAGGAGAATTTTTAAGAAGGAAAGCTTTATACTGTGCTTATTATTTTTGGCACACAGGGTCCATCCAACAGGTGGTAGCTGTGTGGATGTTATTAGTGGAAACACTTTGTATGCAAACAGCCCTTCATTGCTTTATCATTTTCCTTATCCTATCCTTTTTGCAGTCTCCTGTGCAGATTCCATGAATCATTATCGGGACTCTCAATACTCTGGAGCATCCAAAGTAGCAGGATTATATTCTTTCTAGAGGGTTGGCGTGGCCAGTGACTCCACCAATTTGTTAGAGAACTGCTCCTTAACAGCCATAGTGTCTTCTGGACAAACTTCTTTTATATTAACAGGCATTATTTCTTTAGAATATTGTACTCAGCAGTGGATGCTTTTTATCAACAGTATTTTGACTTTTAATTCTGGATTTTTAAAGGAACTATAAACCATCTTAGTGACCACTTTGGTATTTTATAAGATGTGTTTACACCCCCTCACCGGATTGTGTTTTTATATCAGAAAAATTTTTTTAATGAAGGAAGGGTTGTATCCTCTCCATACCCTCTGTAATCAGTTAAACACCACAAAACATTTATGTCTGGTTATTTTTAACTTTCTTTATTACCACATTCACGTATTCTTTTATTAGCCATTGTATTCAATGAATATTCGGTGAAATATGACATTTCAGGTGATATTCTGGTCTCAGGGATTAGGAATGATCTATATATCTAAAATTATAGGGGCGCCTGGGTGGCGCAGTCGGTTGAGCGTCCAACTTCAGCCAGGTCACGATCTCGCGGTCCGTGAGTTCGAGCCCCGCGTCGGGCTCTGGGCTGATGGCTCGGAGCCTGGAGCCTGTTTCCGGTTCTGTGTCTCCCTCTCTCTCTGCCCCTCCCCCGTTCATGCTCTGTCTCTCTCTGTCCCAAAAATAAATAAACATTGACAAAAAAAAATTTTAAAATTATATAGAGGGGGGGGTCTGGGTGGCTCGGTCAAGTGTCCCAACTTTGGCTCAGGTCATGATCTCACAGTGAGTTCAAGCCCTGCATTGGGCTCTGCATTGAAAATGCTTCGGATCCTCTGTCTCCCTCTCTCTTCCCCTCCCCAGCTCGCTCATGCACACACACACACGCTCTCTCTCTCTCTCTCTCTCTGAAAAATAAGTAAACATTAAAAAATTAAAAATAAAATTATATAGATGTGATTACTCTGTCCTCAAAGAAGTTTCTTCTTTTCTGCTAGAATATTCTCAACTCTATCAGGTAATGAGCCCAACAAACTGTCTGACTTTAGGGTGATTCCTAAGTGACATTAAGGTAGAAGTTTATCTAGTTGTTTTCCCAGCTCCCTTTTCAAGAGATCCCATCCCAGAACGTTTCCTCCCCTTTGCCCTAATCCTAATCACATGCTTCCAGCCCTTGTGGACCCTCTCCTTTAATTAAAGCCTGCACCTAGTGAAGACCCTGGCATTAGTAGCTCAAATGGTTGGAAGTCAGTGTGTGAACATCTTCCAGAGGTACCTGTGAAAATAAGATAAAACTAGACACTCCTGTGTGAGGTCCCTGGCTGAGTTGCTCTCTGTAAGCCGCTGAGAAAATAGCCTACTGTGTGCTTGGTCCACGTTAAACTGTCTTGAACTTCCCCAGCAACTCCAGTCTGTGAGTGACGTGTCGATAAGACCAGTGAGTTGCGACTGAGCTAGAAACAATCTACGTCCACACAGCTTCTTCTGGATGCTGTGAATGCAGCAGGAAAATGATTTTCTGATATACCAGGCAACTGTTTGTCTTTTAACAGAACTGGAGAACACTGGTTTTCCTGTGTTCCTCTGCAGAACAGGTGCAGACAGGCTACTTTCACTAATTTTTTTTTATTCCATTCCATGCTGAAAAGATATTTTGGTATCAATTGATAACCTTTTTATACCCATCTCATCAGTTCCTTTTCTAACATTGATTTAATTCTGTGATTATTTTTTCCTAATTGCTTTGTTCTATCCCAACAGCTGGACACCATTCACGTCCTTCAGCATTTTGAGCCTCTGGAAAGTATGTATAATTTTGTTAAGTGTTCAGCAGGTGGAAATTTGAATCAGGTGGAAATTTGCATTACCCAATATCTTGTTCTTTATTTATATTGGTCATTTCTTAGTGGTTCGAAGTGAAAAGACTGTCTTCTTTTACCCTTTCAGAAAAGTAAGAAAGGGAATTATTTTGTATAATTTCACCTATGTATACATGATACATACATTCGTAGACTTGAAAAAGACTTACACTTTATCTGGTCAACCCCCATACCATATTCTACATATTCATCTTTAATGGAAGAGGAAAAGAAGGAGCCAGGACACTAAATGAGTTCGCCAGAGGCACCACAGTCAGCTAATGAGTGGTAGCGCTGGACATAGAATCTAAATCTGCGAAGTTCTCGTCCAGTGCCCTTGCTTTGGAAGAAAAAGGAATCACAGTCAACATAACGCCTGGTCTCAGTTCATCCTCACTTGATTATTAACCTTCACTTTATCCCCAGTTCCACACATTCATTTGACCACCACATACAGTCTCTGACTTTCTTTATTGCAATTGGTAATGACCCTGGTCATCTCAGTATATTTCATGAGCAGATTCATTTATGGTAAAAAGTATACTTTTATTTAAATGCCTTTTTAATGAAAGCTTTCTGAATTCAGATATACTAGGAGTATAGTTTCAGTCTTTGCTTTTATGTGGAAAAATTTTTTAAATCGTTTTATACCGACCTTCATTTAAAATTTTCAAAATTACTGAATACTTTTTGGGCAAGTAAATTATTTGGTGTCCTAATCAACTGAATATAGTTGACTTCAAAATTTTAAAAAGCTATTTTGCTTTAAGCACCTAAGGAATACTACAAAAGGACTTCTTGAGGCCTATTTTAACTGCTTCTAATTTAAAGTGGCTTTCTCATTCTATTTTTTAGTGATCACATCTTTTGAAACTAATAATGGATATGATATTAAAAACAACCTGGACCAGATGGTTTACATCGTAAATGAAGACACAGACGACTTTACCAGAAATGCTTATCGGACACTAAGGCCCTTCGTCCTCCGGGTCACTGACTGTATGGGCCGAGAAATCATGACCATGCAGAGGCCTTTCAGATGCACCTGCTGTTGCTTCTGTTGTCCCTCCACCAGGCAAGAGGTCAGAGAACACAAGTCTAATTCCTTGTCTCTTCCTGATCCAACTCTTGACAGCATTGCTGTGCTCCTTCCAGAATGACACATGAGGGGGTTTTCACTGGCTCTGCTGGTCAGACTGAAAGAAGAGAGCCGAGGGGGTGAAGGGGGATGGGGAGGAGGGCCGCCAAATTGTCTCACCTGAGGAAAATCACAGAGGGTTTTTTTCTTGTGGGTTCTTGTCTTCTGGTGCTAGTTGGGGCTCAGGCTCAAATCAGGATTATTTGGTAACCACAGTTCTGTCGGTTGTGTCTACTGAGTTAGAAATGTATCTGTTACCTAGAACAGAAGTCACACACATTTGTCTAAATGCACCTACCTATCCCCAGATAAGTTGTCCCTAGACATAATTGTATACTTTCAGAATTGGAAGAGACTTCACTGATGAAGGCTCAAGATTTCAGCTGCAGTTACAGCAAATCACAAATGTTTTGCCTCAGCCTTCAGGTGTGATCAGGCTTGTCTCCATCTCTTCCCTCCATTCTCCTCATTCCTTGTGTCCCAGTCATACCTGACCTCTTTGTCACCCTTGGTGTTCAGACTCCGTGCCTGGGGCCTTTGCACATATTCCTGTTGTCCTGCAACTCTCTTCCTACATTTTAGTGTCTGCTTTTGTGGTTCAAATACCTCAAAGTTACCTCCCTGGGAGGCTTTTCCTGAACCTCCTGGGACTGCCATCCATGTTTTCCTGAACTGTTTATTTTGTTTCTTTATAATGTACTACCTCAAGTTTATTTTTTTATTATTTTTTATATATATAGTATTTCTTTTGTTATATGAAATTTATTGTCAAATTGGTTTCAACACAACGCAGTGCTCATCCCAAAGGTGCCCTCCTCAGTACCCATGCCACTCCTCCACCCCCATCAGCCCATGGTTGTTCTCAGTTCCTCAACTCTTACATGCTTTGGCTCTCTCCCACTCTAACCTCTTTTTTTTTTTTTCCTTCCCTCCCCATGGGTTTCCTGTTAAATTTCTCAGGATCCACCTTAAGAGTGGGCTCCATATGGTATCTGTCTTTCTCTGTATGGCTTATTTCGCCAGCATCACGCTCTCAGTTCCATCACGCGTTGGCCATATTTCATTTTTCTCATTGCCACGTATTCCATAGTGTATATAAACCTGATTTCTTTATCCATTCATCAGTTGGACATTTAGGCTCTTTCATGGTTGGCTATTGTTGAGAGTGCCTATGAACATTGGGGGGTACAAGTGCCCCTATGCATCAATTACTCCTGTGTCCCTTGGATAAATTCCTAGCAGTGCTATTGCTGGGTCATAGGGTAGGTCTATTTTTAATTTTTTTTGAAGACCTCCCACACTGCTGGCTGCACCAATTTGCATTCCCACCAGCAGTGCAAGGGGTTTCTCCACATCCTCTCCAGCATCTATGGTCTCCTGATTTCATTTGGCCACTCTGACTGGCATGGTGATACCTGAGTGTGGTTTTTGATTTGTATTCCCTGATAAGGGCGGCGTGAACATCTTTTTTCGTAACCTGTTGGCCTGTCGGATGTCTTCTTTGAAATTCTATTCATGTTTTCTGCCATTTCTTCTTCTATGGTTATTTGCTTTTGGTGTGAGTTTGGTGAGCTCTTTATAGATTTTGGATAACCCTTTGTCCGATATGTCATTTGCAAATATCTTTTTCCCATTCCGTTGGTTTGCCTTTTAGTTTTTTGTTGGTTGTTTCTTTGCTGTGCAGAAGCTTTTTATCTTCATAAGGTCCCAGTATTTCACTTTTGCTTTTAATTCCCTTGCCTTTGGGGATGTGTCGAGTAAGGGTACTTTCGGCTGAGGTCAGAGAGGTCTTTTCCTGCTTTTCTCCTCTAGGTTTTGATGGTTTCCTGTCTCACATTGGGTCTTATCCATTTTGAGTTTATTTTTGTGAATGGTGTGAGAAAGGTGGTCTAGTTTCAACCTTCTGCATGTTGTCCGGGTTACTCCCCAGCACCATTTGTTAAGTGTCTTTTCCATTGGATGTTCTTTCCTGCTTTGTCAAAGATAGAGTTGGCCATGCGTTTGTGGGTCTAGTTCTGGGGTTTCTATTCTATTCCATTGGTCTATGTGTCTGTTTTATTCATACTGTCCCGATGATGACAGCTTTGTAGTAAAGACTAGTCTGGGATTGTGATGCCTCCTGCTGGTCTTCTTCTTCAAAATTACTTTGGCCTGATAGGGGCCTTTTGTGGTTCCATAATTTTAGGTGCTTATTTCTAGTTTGAGAAGAAGAATGCTGGTGCAATTTTGATTGGGATTGCATTGAATTGCTACCTCAGTTTAATCAGAAATATTTATTTACTTAATCTCATGGCACTAAGTGGGATCTCTGGCTTTCAGGCAGCTTCAATTTCTCTGGTTTATTACTGTATTTTCCAGCATCTATAGTAGATTACTTCACATTGGGTGCTCAGTAAATATTTGTTGAATTAATACAAAACTTAGTGAAATGTATTCACTTTAAATGTAATTACAAATGTAGAAAGACTGAATTTGTAATTGAAAAATACAAATGAATTACAAATGTAATTCAAATTACAAAATGTAATTTTTGTGAACCAAATCACAAAATGGAGCATCCAGGTGGCTCAGTTGGTTAAGTATCAGTGATCACCGGTTGTGGACTGAGACCCACTTATCAAGCTCATTGAGCATGAAGTCTGCTTGGAGACTCTCTCTGCCCCTCCCTCACTTATACATGTGTGTGCTCTCTCAAATTAAATGAATAAACTTTAAAAAAGCCCCACAAAACCTGTTGCTTGTATTACTAGTAATAATGTATATATAAGTTGGTGTAAGTATTAGAGCTTTAAAACATTTTATTTTTTTAGTACTCATTAGACTCTTAAAAATAATGAGGTATATAGGTCTTTTGCTGAACTTTGTATGATTTATCTCAAATGTAGAATTATGTGACTATCTAAAACTAAATTTAAATTTACTATCTGTATCTAGAAATTTAACTACGTATTTATTTGTTTTAGGTCTCACTCCACTAAATATATAAGCTTCAAGTGCCCATCTGGTTTGCCGCTATCTTTATTTTCCTCTATTTTAATTCCAGTATAGTTCTGAAATTGTTACTATTAGTTTCACCTGCTATGTTTCAACATCCATAATGGTGCTATTACATAATAGGTGCTCCAGTAAGTATTTGTTGAACTGATGAAGAATGAATGAAGGAAACTGACAACTAAAAAAATTACAATCTTTACATGTATCACTAAAGTCATAATAGTAACCATACATATATCTTAAAAGTATTAAATAATGTTTTATTTTGGGGTGTCTGGGTTGGCGTCAGGTTAACGTCCAACTTTGGCTCAGGTCTTGATCTCTGCCGTGAGGTTTGAGCCCACCGGGCTCTCTGCCATCGCTTACTGAGCCTGCCCCAGGAGCCTACTTCAGATCCTCTGTCCCCTTCTCTGCCTCTCCCTGCTCATTCTCTCTCTCTCTCTCTCTCTCTCTCTCTCTCTCAAAATAAATAAACTTAAAAAATGTTTTTATTTTCAGGACTGAGTGGAATTCTTCATAATGTCAGGTAAATTTTTTATGAATAAATTTTTAATGCGGCTTTATTTTCAATGTAGTGTGTGATTTTTTCCTAAAAAGTGGAGTTTGCTGAGGTTTATTTATTATTGTGCATTTAGAGAAAACTTGTATATGTTCATTTATACATGTGAACATTCTATCTACAACTTTGGCAGAAAAGGATTAAAAAAGGGATTCCGTCGCGTATGTACTGAAAGATCTCACCTCAGAATATATTGGGAGAAAATAACGTAAAAGGAAACAAAAGTAAGGAAGTAAATCTGCAAAGGTATAATCTTAATTAACCTGTAGATGACAGTCTGCCACTGAGAGGAGGAGGCTCAAAAGCAGGGCTGCATTTCCCAGCAATGCAGGAGATGACAGGCAAGAAGCCATTTATGGGACTTGGGCTTTCTTGCAATAAAAGTCAGTTGGTGAAGAGATTCAGAATTTTCCTTGTGGGGAATACAAAAGGAGACATTGCTCTATTAGGGGGACAAGATAAGCGTCATGGAAAGTGAGTTCAGTTCCCCCTTACAGTATTTACAGCAAACAATGTTGCTTTTACTGGAGAAATTGGAATTAAATACCTCTAAATAGGTTACGTAAATGACTAGTACCACTGCATTGTAAAAGCCATTAATAATTTATCATGTTATAAATTTATTTGAACACAGGTCATTTTCCAAAAGGATTACAGAAAAAATAAGATTCCTCTATATATGACTGTGTTCTCCATAACTTGTAGTGGGAGAAACAGTTTTGCAAATGTGCAAGGAGTTCAAGTAGGTGGGAATCAGCATGAAGTCAGCCAGACCACTAACGTAAAGAGGTGTGTTGCTGATCTTAGCACAATGTGAATAATAAAGCAATTTTTTTAATCTATAGTCGAAAATTCATCAATACATATTAAGAGTTTAAAAGCTAATATACATAAAAGAATCATGTGTCTTTAAAATATGGTGTTTCTTAGTTAGATTCATGGGTAGAAAAAATGAATATATTCTGTTATTATTATCACTTCCATTGTAAAATCATGTCCCCTCTCCCCTTTCCCAAGGTGTGATCCCCACAGCCTGAGCAACCCTGCAGATGAAGGACAATCAGATAAGGAATCTCTGATCAAAGGCCTGATGCACCTCAGCTATAATTCCCATTTTGTACCAGGTGAGGTTAATATTATTCAGAAAGGTTCTTTTACCTCTCCAGAAAAGCGATAATAGTTAAGATTGCTTTTTTTTTTCACTTTATTTTTGGGACAGAGATAGGCGAGCAGGGGAGGGGGGCAGAGAGAGAGGAGACACAGTCAGAAACAGATGCCAGGCTCTGAGCCATCAGCCAGGGGAAACCTGGCCAGGGAGACTCTGAGAACTCACAGGACCCTGAGATTGTGAGCCTGGCTGAGAGTCAGGACGCCAGCCATTCGCCCACTTA